AAGGAATGGAGCAGGGAACAGGGTTGTGAGCACAAGCTGTGTTTGCCTGCCACAGGCTTCAGAACACAAATGGCACATTTCCCACTGCCTGCTTCCTAGCAAGGTCTAACACTGAGGGATCAAATGCTTGCCTCAACAGGGCTCAGCCTTTTGCTTTTATTCGACGATTATCCTCCTTGCCAACCGTAGTAAGAATCTGAGACACAGAATCAGAAAAGGAAACAAGCACACAGTTCCACATTGGGCTGGATACTTAATCCAACTCTTCTGAAAAAGAGTAAATCAGATAGAAAGCAGGTGCAGAAGCAGAGAAATGTTAGGAAGGAAAATAATAATAACAATGACCAAAGGGAACTGAAAGATTCAAAGGGAACTGGGAAGGCCAGGGAAGCCAAGTTTACCTTTGGGCACAGGGATGTCCTTGGCTTAGCTCCCTAAGTAAATGGTCAGTGATATTTGTGATTGTACTGATGTGTACATTCAACCCCCTTCTCTCCTACACCTCTTGAGGACTCTCTAAAGACAACTAGTAAGTAGTAGTGGATATCTGGCTTATGCAGCCTGCCCTAGCCACAAGCCATGTTCCTCTATCTCAGTAATTCTGATCCACTGGCTGGGTAATGTATCTATAACTCATATCTCCTCTGACCAGTCCCAAGCCCTATAAATGATTTCCTTTGATAGCCCCATCTGGGCTACAGATGTTCAACGCGGGATTCCATGGGCTCTCTCCTCCTCCCAGAGTCTTTGAGAAAGGAACTACTTTGGCCTACATTTCTGATTTCTTAATGGGAGTGGTGGGAAAGTTGAATAGGATTTGGAAAGCAAAAACAATCATCACACATCAATCAACAATTACTAATGAATGTTGCTCTGTAATCTATCTATAGATCTGAGCCCATTCTCCCACTACCTCCCCCTAAACTGTAAGTTCTTGAGTACATGGACTCTATGCCTGGCATACTCACTTGCTCAATAAGTGTCTGGCAAAGCATTTGTTGAAGTTGGATCCTTTAGGAGTCACAAAATAATGGAACTGTGAGATTGAGCTCTATGATTTAATTGTGATAATAAGAGTGTTATACATGGCTAATTTAGTTCAGAAGTGGACACTCGCTTTACCAACTCCAAGAACCCCATAGAAACCCAGAGATCAGGGTCTCTTAGGAATCCAAAGTCTTTCAAGTAATCCAAGCCATGGCAAAGAAAGGCACTTTACAGGCCATGTTCTGTTTTTCATGCTTCAGCCTGTATTTAAATTTAGAGAATTTAGATAAAAAATTTTAAGCCCTCCAGTAAGTTGCTGGCACTGTCCTTTATGCATTCCTTTGGTTTTCCTTCTGCTTAGTTTAATGTTTCTGACATACCATAAGAACCTGACAAAGGATTGTGTCTCAGTTCTTTCCTGAACAGTAAAAATAATTCAGTGTTTTAATAACAAAAATTTAGCACAAAGAACATAAGATTAAAAAATAAACAAAAACTTCACACATGGAATAAGTATAAAGGGATTGAAAGAGAGAGAAGGGAAGTTTGGGAATAATTAAACATAGAGATTTTAAGGTATGTTCCCTACTATGTGAACAAGCACTAGATATTTTAAACAAATCACCAATGTGAAGAAAAGAGACAAGAAGTTTTTTAGTCTTATTTTCATAAAACATAAACGAACCTTACAACTTTAAATAAAAAGGGTTGACTAAAAAACGATAGTGCAATGGTTAACAACAGCACACACTACTTTCCCATTGAACCCAAGCTTGGTTCCCAGACCCATATTGGGCAGTTCATAACTGCTTCTAACTCTAACTCCAGGAGATCCAGTGCCTCTAGCCTCCACAGATATCTGCACATATATGCACATACTCATACACAGACACACACACACACACAACAGACACAAAATTTAAAATAATAAAACCAGATATTTAAACAACTAAAACCTTAAATAAAGTAAACATTAAAACTAGAAGATTTTTTAAAATTTATCTTAAAACTTTCAAGTTGTCAAAAGAAATAGAAGATAATTGCTTCTCAGTCTTTGAGCTAAGATCAAGTATAATATATGTTGTATAATATTGTTTAAGATATGTAACATTTTTATGCTGTGGAACATTTGTTTAATGATGCACAGGTAGGTTGCATTCTTTTGTTTTACATTTGTTTAACTCTGTGAAGCTGTGTTACTTTGCCTGTCTAAAACACCTGATTGGTCTAATAAAGCTGGACAGCCAATAGCAAGGCAGAAGAAAGGATAGGCAGGACTGGCAGGCAGAGAGAATAAAAAGGAGAACTCTGAGAAGAGAAGACTGAGGAGTGAGAAGAAAGGAAAGGAGGAAATCAGGGGCCAGCTACACAACAAGTCACAGAGTAAGAAGTAAAGAAAGTTAAAAACCCAGAGGCAAAAGGTAGACAGGATAATTTAAGTTAACAAAAGCTGCCTAGAAACAAGCCAAGCTAAGACTGAGCATTTATAAGAAAGAATAAGTCTCTGTGTATTAATTTGGGATCTGGGTGGTGGGCCCCCAAAGAGTAAAGACTAAAGAGTTAAAAAAAAAACTACAAATATATATTCTTAATATGGTAGTATCTGATGGGTCCTCTAGTGTAGGACAATATAGTAAATATAGAGAGCTAGGAGGTGGAGTAGGAGCTTGCTGCATCCAATTCATTCATCTATCTGGTATTGCAATACCTCCAGAATAGTGCACCCCGCTGGGTTGCACTGAAGAATTAGAAGACAAAATTAAAGAAATATAGTGGACAAAAAAACCCAAATAACATAAAAAAAAAAACCTAAGAAAAAAAAAGTCAACGAATAGATCAGAAGATACATAGCCAGGTGTCTGAGGGAAAAAAAATAGAATAGAGAAGTATCAAAGTAATCATTTCAAGAAAAATTTTATATAAATAATATAAGGAGAATAAATATTTAAATTTAAAGAACCATCTAGATGCTCAAAAAATAAAATATTTTTGGTTGTGAGCCTAGCCTTTAACGGCTGAGCCATCTCTCCAGCCCTCAAAAAATAAAATAAAAACAATAAGCCTTGTCTATGGAGGTGATTGCTAGGAGAGGAAAATTAACTAAATACTGCTGCCTGTTCTGTTTAACACTGGAACATGGAGAAGTATTAGGGGATTACTGTTCCTCATTTAATACAATTTGATACTTTGAATGTGAAGATTTGGGGCTAGGGAGACAGCTCGGTCCACAGAGTGCTTTTATTGCAAGCTCAAGGATTGGAATTAAGTCTCCAGAGCCCATGTTTAAAAAACAACCATCACACCTAGTAGTGCATGCCTGTAATCTGAGAGCTGGGGTGTGTGGAAATAGATGGATCCCCAGGGCTCACTGGACCCACACCCAAATCTATCCAGCACACTCCAGGCCAATGAGAGTCTATGTCTCAGGAGTACCTGAGAATAACCTAAAGTTGTCCTGTGGCCTCCACATGCATTCACATGCATGCATGCACCTAAACATATGTGCATTCACACAAACACATGTATGCACATGAGTGCACACACACTGTGATTTAAATATTTTTAACAATCAAAAATGTTCAAATATTTGAGACTGGAAGTTTTGCTTAGTGGTAGGGCTTGTGCTTAGCATGATCAAGGCACTGGATTTAGTGCTACTATTCCTAAGAGTATAAATATCTCCTTTAGTTATACAATGCAAATATTGTATGTGGGCATCACAGGTCTGGATAATAAATGGAATGAGATATGTTTCCATAGCAACTCTGAGACAGGGAGAGGAATAAGTTATAAAGACTCAGATATGGGTGATGCTGCCAAAATTCAAAAAGCTAAAGGAACATTCTGAAGATAACGTTGCCCAGGCACCTTAAAAGACTGTTGCTGTAACTTAGAAGAGGGTCCCTGGTGTGGGTTGAATCTGATGTGTCATCTCACATGGTAAAGCACTAGTTACTAACTGAGAGAACTTTTGGAAGTGTTGGATCATGAGAGGAGAACTCTGAGTTCATCAATGATTAGCCTGCTGATAGAATCCTGATTTAATGTCATTATTGGGATGTAGTAGAGACTTAAGGGGTGAGGGTTACTGAAGGTGGTAAGTCACCGGCACATGTTGTTAAAGAGCCAGTCTTGTCTCCTGGCACCTCCCAGCCTTCTTCTGCTTCCTAGCTATGATGAAGTAGCCTCTTTCCTCTACTGTGTGTAGAGTCTCACCATAGGTCCCGATACATAAACTGAAACGTCTGAGATGATAAGCCCAGAAGAGATATATCTTTCCTCTTTTAAATCCCTTCCCTCAGGTATCTGTCACAGCAACCAAAAGTCTGACCAACAAGTGCTTCAAAGGTCAGGGTAGTGTTACAGGAAGTGATAGAACACTGAGGAGGTCAAGTCTAGTGGAAGGTTCTTGAATCACCAGGAATGTACTCTCAGCAGGAACTGCAGGACCCTGGCCTCTTCCTCCTCTTCTCTTGCTTCCTAAAGCATGAATCAAACACTTTGCTCCTGCCACAATGGACAGCTTTACCCATCAGGCCTTCCTGGACTGGGACTAGTACATCCAGAAAATGGGCCCAAATCAGCTCACTTCAAGTATGTCATTTGATTGACAAGAATTTGACTAACTCTCCAACTCCCAAACTTGGGACAGTGACTTTTTCAAAGAGCTGTCTGAGGAATCTTGTGTTTCTTCTTGGAGATTCCTTAGGCTCCTCTGGTCTAAGTCCTTGAGCTGGTCTATGTCTTCTCTGCCCTGCTCATGTCCTCCAGTAGTTTGTAGGAACTCTGCTCCACAGACCTTGAACTCTGTGAGGGTTGTACCTTATTAGGCATTTCCAGGCCCTTAATTACCTCACACACCTAGTGCTTCCTAAAAGCCCAGTAAAGCCTAGGAGGGAAGAACGTTTTATTTGGGGACTGTGTGAACCCTCTTTTGTCTCCTGGAATCAAAGAGTAATGCAGTGTTAGCAATGTATGGTGTAAGAAAAGCGCCCAAGACCCCAGTTCCTTACCTCTTGGGTGAGTCAGGGTCAAAGCAAGTCTTGCGGACATCAGTCACTTCAGGATCGCAGCAGTCCCCATCATCAAAATCATTCAGCATGTTGTTGCACGCCACATGACAGAGTCCATCCCTGCGATTCCAGGAGTAGCAGCGACCCTGCAGGCGGCAATCGCCCCCATCGTAGCCGGTGAGTGGATGCTCACACTCAGGGTCACAGTGGTCATTGCCAATCTTGCTGGGCTCACAATTAACGAGCACTACCCGGTGGCGCAGGGTGGAGTTGTGGACTTGGTGGACATTCAGCTGCCAGCTGATATTGTAGCGGCTGAAGGCCTCATTCAGTGCCTGGTGCTGCCGGCGGATCTGATCATCACTCACAATGGGACGCAGGCCCTCATCATCACAGATGTTGACCACCTGGTAGCGGATCACTTTCTCTCCCCGAAGAGGCCCATGCTCATTGTACTGGGAGATCAGTTCCACATTGTCACAAACTGTTTGCCCACAAGGTGGGGGCTGCAAAGGTGACAGAATCTCAGGCTGTGACTCAGAGTCCTGGAGAACCTCCAGCCGGGGATATGTCTCATCTCTAAAGGGGGCCCACTGTTCCTTTAGAGGGTTGAAAGCGGCTGTCAGGATCAGGGTGGTCAACTCATCCACTCCACTTGGATGCTGGGGACTGTGCTGGAGGTGGGTTTGTGAGAGGGCAGTCGACCAGATGATCAGCGTGCCCAGATATCCACGGAAATAATGCCCATCCTCGGAGCTGTCCCCTCCCAGGAGTAGGGAGCGGCAGGATGCCATGAAAGGGCTATTCAGTGGACCAGACTGGTCAGGACTTCTAGCCACTCGAGCGCCATCCACATACAGAGCTATATGCTGTCCGTCGTAAGTGGCTGCTACATGAGTCCATGTGCCTGGCTGGTATCGGCTGTGGCCAGTCACAATAGTAGCTTTCTTCACCCGGTCAGTGCGGAGAGAAAAGAAGAATCGAGCATCTCTCCTGCCCTTGTCCTTCCCTGAGTGGATCCCCAGGGCCCAGCCCTTGTCATTGGCTGTGTGGGAGCAGTTATCAAACACACCTGGGAAAGAAGGGAGAATTGAAGGGAGAAAGACCAGATACAAAGAGGGTGGAGAAAGGGAGAGGAAAGGCCATGTCAATAGCAAGAATGTAGCTTCCAGTTCCCCACATTGGCTGCCTGTCCACACTCCTGTATCAGATATTCTGACAGTGTCTATCCACCAAAAAAAAAAAAAAAAAAAAAAAGAGAGAGAGAGAGAGAGAAGATTCCACCCAATTTAGCTCATTCTGGTATTTTAAAATAACCAAGGTAAAAGCCAGCGAGTAAACATCCAACATAAATGATGATTTGATTACCCTTCTCTGTAAATGTCCTCCATGCTATGGACTCTGAGGACCTCCTTCCCTACGCTGGCACTAGAGGCTTTCATTTCCTCAAAAGCCTCGAGGGCAGCCATAGTTTCTGAGACCAAGTGGCCATCATTCGTTTTCTCTTTTGAACCCTGAAATGATGTTTCTCATGAGGAAAATAAGGAACTTGTAACACCCACATACCACTCCTAGCCCACTGCCCTTCTAGTACAACTTTAACAACAGAGAACAGCTGTTCCCCAGACAATGCAACATAACATTGGTCCCGTGGGCCCATCCTCAAAACTGAGAAAGTCAGTTAGGAGAATGGCCATTTTCTATCCCATGATTCCTATCACAGAACACAAACAGGACCCCCAAATAAATGAGATCCCTGCATGCATTGCCCTGCTGCCTGGCTCAGAGCAAGCACTGGACCAATAAATCCATTTGAATAACGGCAGGGACACCTGTGGATACTAACTCTGAAAATGGGGCAGCAAGAAGCATGTTAGGGATATAGTGTCTGCAGAATCAGAGATGGAAAGGAACCCTCAGGCAACTCTTACGATTCATAATAGTTGCAAAATTACAATTATGGAGAGCACCAAAAATAGTTTTATGGTTGGGGTCAGCACACCATGAGGAACTGTATTAAAGGGTCGCAGTATTAGGAAGTCTGAGAACCACTGCCCTAAGGAACATCTTTATTAGTAAACTACAGGAAAGCATTACACTTCCATGGAAACTCTCAGTATGATAAATATGTTCTGTATTGATGAATGATTGATATAGAGTCTTAGGATCTGCTCCCTGAGAATAAAATAAGAGTTGTTCTCCCCTGGACTGTTAGACAATCATTTTATCTATTTCCTGAATTCCTCTATAATCTAAGCCAACAATATTTACTTATGAATAGTATAGATTTATTAGCAAAAGGCTTCTCATTCTTTTTCTCTTTTATTAATTCCTGGAGAAATTGATACAATATCTTTTTATCTTATTTATCCCTTCCTCCAGCTCCTCTCAGAACACCTCTTCTCCATCTGCCCATTGTATCCTCATTTAAAAAAGACACAAAACCAAAAACCATGGAGTCCAGTTTCGGAGAGCATGCTTTCTTTAAGACTTCCTTCTTGTGGCAAGCCAATAGCTATATTCCCATAAATGGCAGAATATCTTCTCTTGTCCCTGACATAAAATAACTTGAAATTTAAGAGGCAAAAATATTTTAAACAATACAGTGCCTTGTCAACTAAGTAATTCAACTTTGAATGGGTAATGATTGCTACAATGCAATTCCAATTTGACAGTACTATTTGGGGGATTTTTAATTTTTTTTGCTTTTTTTCTGTTTTTTTTTTCTGTTGTTTTCCCATTAAGAGAGTTTAAGAACTACTTCTTCAAAATACTTGTGTCAGGTGGGTTTTCATAAAGAAGACAAACCTACTATGATCAATACTAAGTTCCCTGCTTCATATTTTCTCCTAGCTTCATGTTTTAAAAAGTACAGTACTATCTTCATTATGTAAAACCTCTGACCTATGAACAAAAGTGCTACAATATTTAATGAGTATCATAGAGTCACTGATAGCTCAGCTATATGCTGATTTTTAAAAAAAAGCATTTGAAAGTCTATTATAAACGGCTACACACACAGGTATGTGTATAGAATTAGAGCATAGATATTTTAAATAATTTTTAATAAATTATTAACTAAATCCAGTTGCAGTTCTTGAAAACTTTAATTTACTGCCCTTAGAACCTTATTTGATCAACAGCATAGTAATTATTTCTACTTAGTTGTCTCACAGGAAGCTATAAAGTTTTCAAGTTACTAATTTTCAGTGTTTGCTAATTTCTGTAGTGTAAATTACACCCATGGCGCTAATTTTAGGCTGCTAATATGATGTCACTGCACATGGTATTGGGAAGAGAGGTCCACATTTGGCTCTGCTAAACTGGTAGGAGCCAGTTCCAAGAGCTCCAGACTAAAAAGGAACGCCGATCTAAGCAGCCAAATGTCTCCCCCTCTTTTCCTCTGACTAAAGTAGACTCAGCTGTGTTGCAGATGATACAGATGACTTTCTGTAGTTTGAAAGGGGTAAATATTGCCTCCCTTCCAGGTCTTGAGTATTTGGATGTCTACCTGTGCACCAGTAGTACCTGTGAATAAAATCTGTCCAATCCAAGCCGGCTCTTTATCACCTGTTAATTATAAGCTGAAACTACAGGGCAGCCTGGCACAGCTCCCCGTGTGCCCTTAGGAAAGACTCTCAGCCCTGCTCACTTGACCCCACCAAGCAGAAACAAGATAAATTTTGTTTCACAGGGGAAAAAATGACAGAATCACCATGTTGAGGACACGTCTCTTTCTTCTCCGTCTAGCACAGAGGCTGACAGAATCAACATGTTCTGAGCCAACACAGTATACGTGGTAAAACTCAGAGCTTGTGCAAGAGTGGGATTTTATAACTTTGGATGTACATGTGATAGAAACAAACACATTATAACTGGTGTTTATTCATCAAAGCCACATTCTTGGGAAGAACAGAGGGACCAGATCATGAATATGATTTATTAAGTCACTCAGCAACAAAATGAACTCTGATAGCCCATGGTTAGAAAAATCAGATCGAGTGATGTAATTCAAAGGATGGTGGTCGGATTGAAGCCAAACACTTGAATCACATCCTCTTAAAGCTTAGATAATAATTTTCCAGCACTTCCTTCCAATTGCTCTCTCATATATTGATGTTTACTAAATTTACACTTGGTTAAATACCTTGTGTTATATTAAAACTGAGGGTTCAAGGGAGTAAAAGTAAATTCAGGGAGTATATCTATATCTTGTTCATTGTATTTGTGTTCTCAGCTCCCAAAGCCATATTTAGAAGCCATGGTGATCTTAACAGATCATATACTCAAGTATGTCTTCAAGAAAAAAATAATAAAGCATTTGTATCCAATTCTCTACTGTTATTAATTACTAGCATTTGGAATTAATAGAGTTATTTACCCTCAGGGAAAATGTCCTTCTCTCAGACTAGAATATCCCCAGGGCAATATGAACAATTCTAATAAAATGTGAGCCTCAAAGCTAGAGTGTTGTGAATAACCTGTTAGTGGGGAAATTTGAAGTGTGGTCCCTGTGTAGACATCACCCTGATTCTTTCAATTTTATGAGTTCTTTCTTTATGCTTAGAAGATCTGCTCCTTATGCCAAGATGAAATAAAAGGAACTTGAGCTATCTTTTACTGAGGCTTTGCTGTGTTCTAACCATGGCTCGTATACCATCCCTCTTAATGTACCACGAATGTATGGGCTGAATTGAAATATTCTTCCCTGAAGACCAAAAGCTGAGCATTGAAAGATGGGGAAAGTGATTCACAGTCTCACATCTAACAAGTGCCAAAAGCAAAGATCAAAACCAAGTCTATTCAACCACAAAAAGCCCATAGTCCTTCTACTACAGTAAAATACTTCAAATCATTTTCAAAAAATGTTCCTGCCCAGGAGCAAAAAGAACAACATGGGCTAGTGAATGTGACATTAATAGATTCATGGACTGCCTTTTTTTCTGTGCCACCTGGGAAAATGCACAGGCCCAAAGACACATCTAGAAATAGTTTGGAGGAGAAAACCAGTGACTAGCAGGTCATTGGCCAGAGCTTGTGTTGACAGGTAGCCCTGCTGAATATTTGATCACACATATATATCAAGCCCACCTGTGATATATAACAGTTACCAAGTCTTAAAGATCCAAGGCCAAGGAGGCTTGTTCTGCTGAATCCAGAACTGTGGCCACAGAGAAGAGGGTTGAGGAAAGGTATCACAAATAACAGGAAAGTGACTTCAGGACAGTGGCTTCCATTATTTCACAGTTAAATGTGCAATAGGCCAAAGAGGAGCCCAGACTTGAAAAGAACAATGAAAAGGGGACCCTGCCTCTGGGAACTGTATCCACCTCTCTACTGCTGGTGGTTCACTCCCTTCTCCACCAATCTGCCTTCTCCCTCTTGGAATCTTCTGTCAGTTGGCTTTGGCTGGAAGGAGTCTTCTGACCATAAGACAAGATAATAAAGTGAGAATTCCACACTGGCCCTCATATCACAATGAGGAAGAAAACTGTTACCTAGGAATTATAAATGTCAATCAAAAAAAGAAAGGAAGAAAGAAAGAAAGAAAGAAAGAAAGAAAGAAAGAAAGAAAGAAAGAAAGAAAGAAAGAAAGAGAAAAGTAACCTGCTAACTTTCAGGAAGCCATTGTCTTTCAAATTCTTACTTTACAACAATAACCAAGGTAGCATCCTGTGCCCTTTTCTTCCATACAACAGAAAGACTATCTGTATTTCAGGAACATTAAGCCAACTTTTTCAGTGTTGAGACAAATGAAGAAGCTGTGTCCCTTGTTGTGAGGCTACGTAGGTCCAATGCTGAGGAAGAAGCTCTGCTCCATTCTCCTGGATCTCCCCAGTTAAGCATACCCCAAAGACATGCTGTTTTCCTAACAACATTCCCACTATAGTCCCAGAACCACAAATGGAGTTATATCTGTCACATTATCTGAAATATCTCCCATCTATTGGGAGGTCCTTCAAAAATTACCTTAAGTTTCATCTAGTCTGGGAAGTCCTTGATCTTGACCATCCTCCTGGAAGTGGACAGCCTGCTAAGTCGTGTGATGCTACTGTCTTTAACCTATTCATC